TGCATCTTGAACGCATTGAAATTAGAGCTTGTGTGTGGTGCAGCGATTGTCATTTAGTTTTTTGACGTTTGCTTGCAGTTTCTCGATCTAGCACACAGGAATGAATCATTCGGATCGGATTTACATAAGGTGAATGAGTGACTATTATTAACAACACATTGATATCTGAGCTTTTTTTTAAATCTCTGCGTGTACATTCAAATATGTATCAGAGTAATACAAGCATATCATTTATCGCTATCAACATATTAATAACATGTAATGCTCAATAAATGAAGGAATTCCTAGGGCGTTACGTATTGCAACAGATTGTAGGGGTGGATAACGTACTTTTCTTATACATAATAAAAGGGTTGCAACAGTTTGCCATACGACTCCACCAACATGCACTTGACATATTTTTCTAAACAAATTCCGCATGCACGGCTAATAAGAACGACTCAAAATTATGTAAGAGTTAGTCATATTTCAGTTCAGGTTACTTCAATTCGTGAAAACGTAGGTCACTCATAGAATGAGTAAATTTTCCGACGCTTTTCCGAGGAAAATCTCTCAAATATTCTATTGTCTACTAAAACACTTCTAACCTGTGTACAATTTTCATAATTTTTCCCCGTATTCGATTTTTTTTTCATTTTAATATTGCGGCGTTGTCAACAAACTACGTAGCATAACGTCAGATAGTTTAGGAAAAACGTCCTCTTTTAATTTTATTACCTGAAACTCATATTGCAGAAACTGAAGCTTTTAATCAGTATAGTATTCCGGGATATATTGTTGCTGCTTGTTTATCACATTCTAGACACACTGGCGGTGTTGCTAATTATGTCAAAGAATCAGTTCAATTCAACCTTCGTACCAAAGAAGTTATTGATGGCAACTGGTTCTTGGGCATTACAGTTGTACGTGGCATAAAGATGGGTAATTATGGTGTTTTGTATCATTCTCCCAGTTCTAGTGACCAGCGTTTTGTTGAAGTTTTAGAGAACTGGCTCGAGACATTCCTTGATTCTAGTAAATTAAATATATTGGCTGGTGAATTTAATATTAGTTGGCGTGATAACTCTAACTCGAATCATTTGAAGCGTTTAGCTGAGTTTTTTAATTTAAAGCAAACGGTAAATGAATATACGCGTATTTCCATGCACAGTAGAACTTTAATTGACCACGTGCTCGGGGAGACGAACCAGCCCAGGGCTGAAAGTCTCATTAATAAAGATATATATAAAAAAAAAATTGACCACGTTTATTCCAATTTTGATTCCATTTGTTCAGTTACATATACTGATTTGAAAATAACCGATCATGAGACCTTAGTAATTAATGTATTAGATAATATCAATAACAACGATGAATTAGTAAAATTGAAGCGCTCCCAAGTAACATTGCAAGCTTTATAGAGGTTTTATAGCATTCTACAAGTCCAAATCATGGTCTACAGAACCCTCATAAAACCAAAATTGTTACTTGGGCTGGATCTTGTTGAGAGAAGCCTGGATTTTCCATTCGCGGCTGGTAGCTTAGATGAATCTACAGCTGTTCTTAATAACGCTTTGAAAACGTGTACCAATCAACTAGTTGAGCAAAAGTTTGTTTCTTTGAAAAACTCGAACAGCTGGTATATTTCGGATCTTTTGCGTCTTAAACGGAAAAGGGACAAATGGTACAAAAAGTTTTGTAGATCTAATAATGACAATCATTGGACTAGGTACACAATCGCGCGTAATAAGTATTCACAATTGATAAAGAAAACTCGTTGTGAATATGGTCAAAGGAAGAAAGATTAGAACAGTCAGAACAAGTAATTGCATTTAAGTTTAATGATTATTTTGTCGAAAGTGTTTCATAGATTAATCAATCCATTGAATTGGTTGATGAATCTGACGAAATAAAACAACCAGTTAATAGTAATTTTAGATTTGAAGGTTTCCACCCAATTACATTAGATGAACTTAGAGTTATTTGTTTTTCATTATGAAAATCGGCTGGAGTAGATAATGTTAATGCTAGCGTTATTCAAGATTGCTTTCATGTCATTGGCCACATCTTGCTGAACCTTATTAATGAATCATTGCAGAATGTACATCTGCCACAAATTTGGAAGGAATCCTTAGTGGTTCATATTCAAAAAGTTGCTGGAACGATTAAAGTCGAAGAGTTTCGTTCCATCAACATGTTACACACATTAGAGAAAATCTTAGAACTTGTTGTTAAAGGCCAGCTGTTGGAGTATTTGAATAGCAACTCTTTGTTGATACCAGAACAATCAGGATATTGGGAAGATCATTCTTGTGAAACTGCGTTGAATTTGGTGTTAGCAAAGTGGAAAGACAACTTGGAGCGTAAAGATACGACTGTTGATGTTTTTTTGGATCTGAAACGCGTTTTTGAAACAATTTCTAGACCCTTACTGTTAATCAAGCGCTTTGGAATTCGGAGTATTGCATATAAATGGTTTGAAAGCTATTTATCTGACAGAACTAAACGGACTGTTTTTAATGATTCTGTTACTAGTCCCGTGGGGAATAACCTTGGAGTGCCCCAGGGAAGTGTATTAGGGCCCCTTTTATTTATTATGTTTATTAACGACTTGCAGATGATACTGTGTTATTCATTGAAGCTAAGGATTTAGAAGTTGCTGTCTCACACTACAATGAAGGTTTGCAGTACCTAAGTAGATAGTTGAAGTGTAAGCAGTTAAAATTGAATGCAAGTAAAACTAAATTTATGGTAATTTCGCTGAATCGAGTAAATCGTCTCTGTTGTAATTGATGATGAGACTGTTGATCGCGTTCAGGAGATTAAATATCTTGGCGTGATTATTGATGACACACTTAAGTTCAACTCTCACATTGACAATGTCATCTAGAAAATTGCCAAGAAGTATGGAATTCTATGTCGACTGAAAAACGATTTAACTATTACCAGTAAAATCAATCATCTCTTCTCATCTAGACTTTTGCCCTTCCATTTTATTTCTGGCCAATGAAACACAATTATCGAGATTACAGCTCTTGCAGAATAAAATGATGCGTTTGGTTTTGAGATGTAATAGATTCACTTCCTCAACTTTGATGCTAGACGCCTTACAATGGCTGTTGGTGAAGCAAAGAATTGTATATTTGACTATGGTGTTATTTTTAAAGTAGTTAACGGTTTGCTGCCTCGATATTTGAGTGATCGAATTGAAAGAGGAAGTGACTTTCATAGATATAATACTAGAAACGCGGTTAAAATAAGAACACCACATTTCTTGACTTGTGCTTCACAAAATTCATTATATGATAAAGGAATAAATGTTTTCAATTCGATGCCTAGACACAGAATGGTTATCCAGTGATTTTTTTTATGAATTGATAAATTATGTATCTTGACGAAGTTATCTTTATAACGGATTATTTTATATGGATAGCTGTCATAACGACTTTTTAATAATTATTCTAGCACTGCGTATTACGAATATAGAGGACTGAATTTAACATTTAATAAAAAAAAAAATGCAATCTTGAAGCTTACATTTGGAAGATACCTTGAGTTAATAATAAGTTTTCTGGCAAATGCTGGGAGTTTGTGAGCATTCCTGACATTGCTGAAAATTATGATAGCATCAGATTGCGGGGTTGATAATGTAATAGGATGCTTTGTTGATTGTTCATTAACTCTTGATCACTTGTAACACTTATGAATATTTTAGGTGGACAAAAAGGCGAACTAAGAGGTGGACGCCTGAGCTTTTCCACATTTCATTCTTCCCAAAATTCCCGATATCCTACGCAGGTGTGGAAGCTGCCTTCCTGCACATTCGATTGCCGTCAATGGATGGCAATCGATGTCCGTCGGTGATTGGCACTAGATTGCGGAACAGAGACCGACGTTAAATATAGGAAAGAAGAAGAAGAAGAAAAAGTCGTTTTGACTTGCGTACAGAATGCGGACTCAGTTTTTCCATAGTAGTTCCCATATAAGCATCAATCGACCTACGCAGTTTCAGGCTGCAAACAAATGATCTCACATGAGGATAATCTAAACCAGATTTGGAATTCCTTGCGTTTTGAAATTTGAACCACTCTAATACAAAATACAATTATAATCATAACTGTTTAATGAACATTTCTTTCGGAAAGGAATTGATTATGCACGTCGTGCCACTAGCAGATTGGTGCAAAGCTACAAATTACAAACATCAAATAAACTCATTTGCTCATTGGCACCAATGCTCCGAAATCCGACGGACGACCTTCGTTGGCATTCGATCAAGATTGGAGCAAAATGTGTGATCATAACGCATCCCGTGGGAAGACCGTGGTCGATCCCCTGTCTGGGGAGGGAACTTTCGGATTTACTTTTTTTGTATACTTGAAAGCAATCAACGATCGTGTAGTACAACCGTACAATACCGTATAGGCCAGAGGCCGGTTGTTTATTTTGATGACTAATTATAAATTCCCACCATCATCGAGGGGTGGTGGAAGGATGCCAGCCAAACTGTTGAGCACCAGATACGTAACCCTTACCTCATGCCGTTGCTGTCGTAATAGTCGCAAATTCACATCCACGATACGGGAATAATCTTCTAAATTGGGATCGAACCCATTGGCATCGTAGTGTCGGGTACTTTTATTGTACAGGTATTGTTCGTAGGTTTGCTGAGCATATTATTAGTCTATTTATTTGCGGCGATGGTAATTGTCTGGGACTAAAAATAATAACAATTGACAGCGAGCACGTGATGACGTTTGTTTGCAATTTGCTCTAATGATCATCGTCTTCGAGGAATGGAAAACTGCGCGGACGATTGGTTTGTTCTCGGCGACATACTTTTTAGGTAAAATTACATTTTTTTTAGAATCATTGCATGAATTGCCTGTCCGTTACTACTCCTTTCGGTATGACTAACAATTTATGGAATTTTTATTTATTTGCATGCAACTATAACACTGTTGTCTTTTATTTTAAATAAAATCAATTATAATAAATGCGTTTCATTCCGTTACCCACAGATGTATGGCCGCTATACCAAAGACCTAGGAGAATACGCCAAAGATGAAGCGCGAAGACTCAGGCTTCTTGAACGAAGAAGAAAAAAAGACGATAAAGCAAGAAACAAGGTAATTGTTAACGTACCGACATCTCACCCCACTCAGCCACCCGAAAGCTTTCCCTCATCTAGTCTAGTGGTCATCCCATCCCAAATTGTCGTTTAACCTATTGGTATCAATATGATGTTTTCTTTTTTTCTTCTCCTTTGTTTTGTGGAAAACATAAATCGTCACAAATACCAACATCCTTTTGGTCTACACGCTACCACTACCACTACTACTACTACTATTACTATTTCTACTGAACGTACTTCCAACAATTTTATGAAAACAAAATTGAACAATCGAAACTCCATTCCCGTCTGCGATTAAATTCTCCGAAAAAAAAAACTTAAAAATATAAAAATAGATGGAAATCGTTTCAGGAACTGTTGGGAGTGCGGGATAGCAAATTATTCAAAGCCTCCTCATGGTTTTGGCGGAATACGTTCGCGCGGCTCGGCGAGGACTGGGTGTTCTTGGCCATGCTGGGCATCATCATGGCGTTGCTGTCCTACGTGATGGACAAAGGCATCTCGATGTGCACAAATTGTGAGTTCTTAGATTGCGATTAACGATCCTCCAAGCGACTTATCTAACCGTATCATTCCCAGCACGAGTATGGCTGTACCGAGATCTCACCAACCATCCAGTGGCACAGTACCTCGCCTGGGTGTCCCTGCCCGTATGTCTGATCCTGTTCTCGGCCGGTTTCGTCCATCTGGTGGCACCGCAGAGTATAGGTTCCGGCATTCCGGAGATGAAAACCATCCTCCGGGGTGTGGCCCTGAAAGAGTATCTCACCTTTAAGACGCTGGTCGCCAAAGTGATAGGTCTGACGGCAACCTTGGGCTCCGGGATGCCCCTCGGCAAGGAAGGCCCCTTTGTACATATAGCTAGTATAGTATCGCAATTGTTAAGTAAAATCATCACGTCATTCCAATCGATCTACGAGAATGAATCCCGCAACACGGAAATGCTGGCGGCGGCCTGTGCCGTCGGCGTGGGAGCCTGTTTCGCTGCGCCCATCGGTGGTGTCCTGTTCAGCATCGAGGTCACCACGACTTACTTCGCCGTACGAAACTACTGGCGAGGTTTCTTTGCGGCCGTATGCGGTGCTACCGTGTTCCGGCTGTTGGCCGTGTGGTTCCAGAAGGCAGACACCGTGACGGCCCTGTTCGCCACCAACTTTACTGCCGACTTTCCGTTCGATCCGCAGGAGCTGTTCGTGTTTGCGCTGATTGGGTAAGTTCCGTAAAAGAATTCGTATTTACTGATACTGATAAAATAAAAATAATTGGAATTAATAATGTTTGAAGGAAGTGTATCAATCCGCTGAGATCATTTCGTCGAAGTCGTATTGCCAAAGCTTAATTTACCAATTATATACATATAGGGGGCCTCCCTTAGCTCAGTCGGTAGAAGAGAAGCTATAAAGCAAAACCATGCTGGAAGCGGCTGGGTTCGATTCCCGGTCCGATCTAGGATTTTTTTGGAAGGTAAAAAATGGTACAGACATCCCAAGTAGCAATGTTGGTTTTATAAGGGTTCTGTAGACCAACATTTAGACTTGTAGGTGTTAAAGACGTAGGGACGTATTAAAGCCAAGACGAAGAAGATATGTTGGAAAACCTTCTGGATTATAGAATGTACGCACTAAAACTGGTCGTTGAAAAAAATTGTTTTAAAAAATAATGCAAAACATGCCATGCCATGCCAAACTACCTTAATGTTCTTCTTAAATGCATTTCAAGCTTATTGCTTAGCGCATATTAGCTTATTGCGTGCTCTCAACTTAGTGTTCTAAATGCACTTCCACAGTTATTAATTGAGAGCTTTCGATGCCAATACCAATGCATGCATTTGTATATTGTGTGGCAAGCACAATGATACTCTATGACAAGGGAAGTCGAGAAAAATTCCAAACAAAAAGATTCCCTCGACCGGACAGGACCGTGCCTATGACTAGACTATGAGGCCCCCTTCCCGAGCAAAGTTAGAAATCAAATTGAAAACAGAATTTGCTGTTATGATGTAACTTATTTTGAATACTCCATTTGATCTCATTTTGGTTGACTTAACGGTTAACACAGCAAAAATGAGAGCAAAATTTTACACTGCTGAATCAAATGGAAAACTAATTCTGCTCTCAACGAAATCAATTTGATTACTGATTTTGCATTCATAATGTTTGACTGAATACGGGCCTGTCGTAAATGGTTAGCATCCATGCTTCTCACGCTGAACGATTTGAGTTCAAATGTCACCTCGGGCTAGTCACGAATTACCTAAAATGTGTTAAACAAAACAAATAAACAATAATCGTTAGTTCAACGACAGATGAACTTACAAATTTTAAACAAGAAATTAACAGCAGAACTTCAAGTTAAGTTGTTAAGTTTAAAAAGTATTGACTGCATAATGAACGCACAATATGATATCAGACTTCTGTCGCGACAATTGAAATCAAAATGAGTTTTCATTATGATAGGAACTGCCAACTTTAATATCGATTTCCTTTCATTTTGTTAACCAACTTTGCTCGGGTTACCCACTACCTTACTTATTTCATAATTTGAGAAAACATCAATTGTTATTTTCTATGGAGAAAGCCGAAGAACAAACTACTTTGGTTATTTTCGATTAACATATATCAGCCTACTATGATTATATTGTCATATAAAACCCAAAACTCCTCCTAAACAATATCCAGAAGTACTCCAATCTGCTCCCGTAATGTCTTCAATCGCAGGCCACTGGCGTGCACAGAGTGGGGCTAGGTGGGGCAATTGCCCACCCTTTTAAAAGTATTACAAAATTATGATATAAAATAACTTTACCTTCAAAAATGAAAACCTTTTATTGCGTCAATTCCTTTGAGATGGTGCTTGAAAATTGCATCACAAAGGTGCATGAAGGGACGAACTTCAAAGACATTTTTTGGTCAAAAAATTGCACCGGTACATACAAGAAAGTTCTGGTGTAATTTTTTTCAATGTGGCTCATGGAAAGTTAAAACAAGAGGGCAAATTTAAGGTATAAAAAATTAAGCTTCGTGGTGGTAAATCAAATAGAAAGCTTTTTATTGAATATATCTGGTGTAAAAATATCATCAAATCATATATTCTTGTGTAAAATGAATGACTAATCATAATGAATTAATTGAATCACGCTAAAAATCTGGAGCTGCACATTTAACTGAACATTTATGGTGGAAAATTTGCATGAAAAGGTAAAGCCTGAAAATTGACCCACAAAGGTGCATGGTGAAACAAACTTCACTGACAATTTTTGGTGCACCGTTCTGATGAATGAAAGAGCATGATTTATTGAAAAATTCTGGTGCAAAATTTGCATCGCTCTGATAAATGAAATGAACAGAAAATTTCTGGTGGAAAACTTGCCCTTGCAATGAAGGCACAAGCTTTATTTAAAATTAAGCTATATTGAAAATATGTGGTGGAAAATCTGCACCACAACAATGAACGGATGGGTAAGCTTTTCAGAAAATTTTTGGTCTTAAATTTGCATCCTTCTGCTGAATAGAGAAACATACTTTAATAATAATTTCTGGTATAAAATTTGCACCATTCTGATGATTGAAGGGAACCTGCTTTACTGAAAATTTGTGATGAAAAATCTGAAAATAGGGGCAAGCTATATTTGGTGGAAAACCTGCAACATTCTGATGATAGGAGAAGCAAGCTATATTGAAAATTACTGGTGGAAAATGAAAAAAGGAAATCTGCACCAATCAGAAGATTGGTGGATTTGCATCGTTCTGGTCAAATGAAATTTTCTGGATCAAAATTTTCTGGGGACAAGTTTGTATTGAAAATTTCTGGTGTAAGATTTGCAACAATCTGCTGCATGGTTGACCCTCCATGCAGCAGATTGTTGCAAATCTTACCAGATTGAAAATTCCTGATGTAAAAATGGCACAGTTCTGGTGAATGGAGAGGCAAGCTTTATTGAACATTTCTGGTAGAAAAACTACAACGTTTTGGTGGATGGACGGACAACTTAAACTTGACTTCCGAGAAGAACCTCAAGGGTATTGAATTCTGAGGATTGTTCCAAAAGAAAAGATTTCTGGGGATGATTCCATGAAAATTCTGCGAATGATATCTAGTGAATCTTGCAGATAGTTCCAAGATTATTTCGAATAGAATACCGAGAGAATCGAATTTTGAATGAAATTACAAATGTATGTTGGGGAAAATTTCAAGGAAATTCCGAGGATAATTTCAAGCTCATTTTAGGAAGAATTTCTGGAAAATTCAGAGGAAATTCTTCTGAAACTTTAGGGGAATTTCTGTTCCAAGGTGTTCTGAGAAAAAAAAGGTCTAAAATATTCCGAGAAGAGCCTCAAGGATATTGCAGATAGTTCCAAGATTATTTCGAAAAGAATACCGAGAAAATCAAATTTGGAGTGAAATTCCAAAGGGATTTTACGCAAAATTTAAAGCGAATTCCGAGGATAATCACAAGCTCATTCCAGGAAAAATTTCTGAAACTCTAAACGAATTTCAGTTTTAAGGTGTTCTGAGAAAAAAACAAGAAGAGTTCTAAATATAATTCCAGTGGACTTCTGAGAAGAATTTCAAAAGAGCTCTTAGGAGAGCTCTAAAAAATCCGAGAAGAACCTTAAGGATATTGAATTCTGAGGACAGTTCCAAAGGATTGCTGGGGAGTATCCCAAGAAAATTCTGCCAATAATTTCTAGTGAATCCTGCAGATAAAGGGTGATACGGTCAAAATTTGGTCAAGGGAAAACGCGTGTAAATCGGTGAAATCGTTTTTTTTCAAGTTCAATTAGTATAAAATTCAGGAAAAATATTCAGTTAGGCTTCCGCTTTTCCAAATCCGAATTGCCGGGCCTTACGCTTGACCCCTGCCATCAGATTTTGTACAGCCACCTTGTCCACCTTCTTCGCCGCAGAAAGCCAGTTTGCCTTGAACTGCTGCTCGCCCTTAGCAGTTTTTTTGGTGTTCTTTAGGTTCCGCTTGACAATAGCCCAGTATTTCTCAATTGGGCGGAGCTCTGGCGTGTTGGGAGGGTTCTTGTCCTTGGGAACCACCTGCACGTTGTTGGCGGCGTACCACTCCATGGCCTTTTTACCGTAATGGCAAGATGCCAAATCCGGCCAAAACAGTACGGAACAACCGTGTTTCTTCAGGAAAGGCAGCAGACGTTTATTCAAACACTCTTTCACGTAAATTTCTTGGTTGACAGTCCCGGAAGCTATGAAAATGCTGCTTTTCAAGCCACAGGTACAGATGGCTTGCCAAACCAGATATTTCTTTGCGAACTTTGACAGTTTCATGTGCTTGAAAACATCTGCTACCTTTCCCCTTCCTTTTGCCGTATAAAACTCCTGTCCCGGAAGCTGCTTGTAGTCGGCTTTGACGTAGGTTTCGTCGTCCATTACCACGCAGTCAAACTTCGTCAGCATCGTCGTGTACAGCCTCCGGGATCGCGCTTTGGCCGTCGTATTTTGTTTATCATCGCGATTTGGAGTCACTACCTTCTTGTAAGTCGATAGTCCGGCTCGTTTTTTGGCTCGATGCAACGGTTGTAGACGATACACCCAGCTTATTTGCGGCATCTCGGAGAGAGAGGTTAGGGTTTCGCTTGAAACTACCGGCAACTCTCTTTGTCGTCTCAGCGGCTTCCGGTTTTCGATTTCCCCCCGATCCAGACTTCCTGGCTGTCGACAAACGTTCCCCAAACACTTTAATTACATTTGTAACGGTTGATTTGGCAACTTTTAGCGATTTTGCCAACTTTGCGTGCGAGTAGCTCGGATTTTCGCGATGCGCGAGCAAAATTTTGATACGCTGCTCTTCTTGCTTGGACGGCATTTTGACAACTGAAGAGTGAATTCCAAAATCAAAATAGGAGCAACATTCTACACACACACACCTTCAAAATGAGGGGTGTTCAGGTTTTTTAAATGCAAAATTGAAAGAAATACGTCAAGTTGATATTGACCAAATTTTGACCGTATAACCCTTTACTTCCAAGATAATTCCGAAAAGAATACCTAGAAAAATTAGATTTTGAGTGAAATTCCAAGGGATTTTGTGGAAAATTTCAAGGGAGTACCGATAATTTCTAGCTCATTCCGGGAATTATTTCTGGACAATACTGAGGAAATTCTTCTGAAACTTTAAGGGAATTTCAGTTCCAAGGTGTTCTGAGTAAAAGTCAAGAAGAGTTCTAAAAATAATTCCAGAGGACT